GTGTATTTTTCACAAGTGCCCAGTGATTCTGATATGGCTGGGCTGTGGGTCACATCCTATAGTAAGGAGCTAGCTTTGGGGGTGGTGTTTTATACTTTGTAGAAAAAGAAGATTTTGACTCGAGGGTTTAGGGGAGAAGACAAGCTGCCTAGGTCACTTCACACTTCACACGTGCTGTTAGGATCCCACCATGACTAAGAATGATAGACCTGAGTTCAAACCTTGGTTCTGCTATTTCTTAGCTATATGGCCTTGGGTAATCAGTTGATATCTGTGACCTACTTCTTCATTTATATGATGGGACTGAAGTACCTAGCACAAAGGGTTGTGAAATTTTCATTAGCTTGTTTTGAGACAGGGTCTTGATATTTAGCCCAGGCTGGCCTCAAGCTCATGAACCTCTTGCCTCAGCCACTCAAGTGCTAGGATGATGGTCACCTCTCCTGGCCTTATCCATGTCTCAGGGAGCTAGACTTAAGGCCATTACCAAGATTCCAGGGCATGGAGGAAAGTGTGGCCGAGTAATTGAGATTGGATTCCCATAGGGTTTACTCTAATGTGGGAGCTTTCTTGCAAGAAGATGGAGACTCAGAGTGGGGAGAGTTACACCTCCTCATTATCTCCTCATGCTTTGTCAACTTATTCTCTCTAAGCCTTGGTGTTTTTGCTGTCCGGAGGTAGCCCCAGTGATCCCTGTACTCTGAAGGTGGAGGCAGGGGATTTCAAGTTCTAGGCAGCCTGGGCAAGAACTTCTCCATAAAACAAACAAAATAAATAAACAAAAGTAATCCTGCATGGTGGAACACACTTGTAATCCAACAGTCAGGCAGATTTTGTCAATGAGTATGAGGCTAGCCTGGACTATTCATTAAGATATTCCACCTGACTGAAGGGTAACAGGAAGATTTACTGTAATATTATACATGTTGTCAAAGTCTGACATGGGGCTCTCAACTACAGAAGCCCCTTTTGGGGACTACATTTAAAGACACACATACCCTGCCATGGATGCCCAAAACATTGGATGGTTTCAAACCATATATATATAGTATTTAGGTTGTTGTTGAGATAGGTTCTTGTCATATTCCCCAAGCTGGCCCAGAACTTGTGACCCTCCTGCTTCGGTCTGTGAGTGCCGGGATTACAGGTGTGCTGTCACACCTGGTCTGCATCCGCTCCTTTCAGGGTACACCTGTGGATACAGTGTAATTTCTAAATTAGCACAGTAAGAGTTCAACAATAGTATCAGAACTATAACAATATACTGTAATAAAAGTTCTTTTAAACTTACAGATTGTTTATTTTTGGAATGTTCCATCTAATATTTTCAGACCATGATTGACAACTGGCAACTGAAACTGGGAAAGGTCAAGCCAAACTAAAGGAGGGCTATTATTATTTAAACCAGGGTTCTCTTGGTTGATGGCTAATTTCCCACACTGTTATGTTCTAGGTTGAATTCAAAGCCACTTTCTTTTCTTTTTTGTTTTTGTTTTTTGTTTGAGACAAGGCTTCCCTGTGTAGCTCTGGAGCCTGTCCTGGAACCAGCTCTTGTAGACCAGGCTGGTCTCGAACTCACAGAGCTCCAGCTGTCTCTGCCTCCCACGTGCTGGGACTAAAGGCATGAACCACCACCGCCCGGCTTCAAAGCTACTTTATTTTGATTGAAGTTTTCATTTTCAGATAGTGTCTCATTATGCAACCCTGGATGTCCTGGAACTCTCTATGTAGACCAGGCTGGCCTTGAACTCACAAGATCTGCACCTGCCTCTGCTTCCTGAGTGCTGAGACTAAGTCATTGCCCCCCCACCTGGCTCCAAAGCCAGTTTCTTGATAAAGGACTGATGGCCTTCAAGTTGCTCTACTCCAGCTTCTGAAAGGGAAGGTCCTGTTCTCTGTCACTTGCTGTTTCTTGTGGTGTTTCCTCCTTAAAAGGAGGGTGGTGTTGGATTGCATGCTGGAGAGGCAGCACCTGTCTTGTCCTGTGTGCCAGGTGATTCTCTGGTCATGAATTAATGTTTTTTGTTTGTTTGTTTGTTTTTGGTCTTTTTGTTTTGTTTTTCAAGACAGGGTTTCGTTGTATTGCGTTGGAGGTTGTCCTGGAACTTGCTCTGTAGACCAGGCTGGCCTCGAGCTCACGGAGATCTGCCTATCTCTGCCTCCCAAGTGCTGGGGTTAAACGCGTGCGCCACCAACACCCAGCTGTTTTTGGTCTTTTGAGACAGGGTTTTTCTGTAACTTTGGAGGCTGTTCTGGAACTCACTCTCTAGACCAGGCTGGCCTTGAACTCACAGAGATCCTCCTGCCTCTGCCTCCCAAGTTATAGGATTAAAGCCTGTCCCACCAGCCCAGCATGAATTAATGTTCTTAACTGATTGTTCATGGTTCTCATTGTTGGTTTTACTAGGGGATCACTCCACCCCGTCTCTCTGCAGTCCCCTCCCCCACCCAAGAAGGAAACTACCTCATTCACTAACTTACTTCATGGATAGGAAACTTGGGCCATGGTTTCAGCCATCTATACATGGTATTTTCTTTTTTTATTAGAAGGGAGTAATGTGCCTTCAATATTCGTCTTCCCTCTCTAGCACAGAATGTTTCCACTTCATCTGCTTGTTACATAGCCTTCTTTCCTTTTCCTGCCTTCATCTCTACTCGTCCAGACTGACTCATTTCAAGCTTCATGACTTCAGGCCTCAGAGCAACATTTGGTTTTTCTTCACAGCTTAAGGAAGTGCTTGCTCTTAAAGATTTATTGAGAGTCTGGCCCTGGCCAAGTTGTCCCTGTCCTGGCTTCTGCCCATACTTACCAGCTGGCTGCTCCAGGGTCCTCTGCCATCCCCTAGGTGATCTCTTCAGCCTCTAGGCTTTAGTGTCCATTGTAGGCTGAAAATGTCTCATCAACTTCCATTCAGATCTTACTCCCTACCCACTTCCCCTCTGTAAATGGCAACTCCACCTGTGCAGTTCTAACTACACCCTAGCCTTACGTCCTACTTTGAAGCCAATTTGTTGCCATCTCTTAAACTGTAAAGTGGATAAAGAAACCAGCATCTCGCTGGCTCTACTTTCCATTAGTTTCCTGGGCTTAGGCCAACTGGTCCTCTGTCAAATGAGAGCAGTCGCCTCCTCACTAGGCTCCTGGTTCTGTCTTTCCTCCTTCATTTGGGTTCTGAAAAAACCCTTTTAAAATGTATGAGCTTTCCTCATCAAAATTCTCAGAAATCCCTTATAGTGGTTCTCCATCTCAGTCCGCCCCGTGGCCCGGGTTCTGTTTCCTCCTCCTGGTAACAACAGTGTCTTCCTAGCCCTATTTAAATCTGCAGCATTCCCTGTAGTACCAGCGGTCTTAACCCACTCCTCCTGTAAGCAGGATGCTTCCCAGGGCTGAGGAAATTGGTAGCTAAGCACTCTGGTTTTGAGACAGGGCCCCCTATGTAGCCCAGACTAGCCTGATCTCTTGATTCCCCTGTCCCACTGTATTACAGGCACCTAGCACTTTTATTTAATGTTAAATCCCCGGTGCCTCTTAACTCTATAACCTAGAACATGCCCAATAAATTTTATGAATTAGTACAAGTAACTATAATGCCATCCGTCATTGTGATGTAAATTAACTCATGTTCGGTACACAATCTCGGAGGCAGGCAGTTTCCTATTTTACTGAGGCTCAAAGAATTTGCTGTGTGCGGGAGACCAAGGTTTCCCCTGGGGCCTCTTAAGGCTGACCTGTCCTCCCTCTCCCTGCAGGTCGCCAGCCAGATGCCAGCGCCGTCGGCCGACCCGGCGCGGCCCCACGCGTGCCCAGACTGCGGCCGCGCCTTTGCGCGCCGCTCCACACTAGCCAAACATGCGCGCACGCACACGGGCGAGCGCCCCTTCGCGTGCACGGAGTGCGGCCGGC